AGCATCGGCCGTTGCGCTCACTTGGGGAATGAATCATCGGATGGAAGATCTTCCTTTCTGTCTCTCCTCTCTGTATATCCGCCTTTCCAATAAAAAAATAATAAAAATAAATCTTAAGAAAAAATAAAGAGACTATGTAGCTATAGTAAAACCCTAGCACTTCTTTCTACTGCAAGTCTTAAAAATAGATTAATTCTATAACTTAAACAATGCCATCTAACGATAGAGTCATTCTCTGGAAAGAAGTGGTGTGTTCTTAAAAAGCAACAGGAGAAGGTAAAACAAATTTAGCAAGTTGACCAGTTTAGAAAGTGGCCAGAGGGCCTGGTGCGGTGTCCTAGCAGCTAAAGGCCTTGTCTTGCATGTACCAGGATCTCATATGGCTGGCGATTTAATCCCGGAAGCTCCACCTCTCATCCAGCTCCCTGCTTGTGGCCTGGGGAACACAGTGGAGGACGGCCCAAAGTCTTGGGACCCTGCACTCATGTGGGATACCTGGAAGAAGTTCCTGGCCCTTGGCTTCAGATTGGCTCAGCTCCAGCCATTACAGTCACTTAGGGAATGAATGATCAGATGGAAGATCTTCCTCTCTGTCTCTCCTCCTCTCTGTATATCTGACTTGCAATAAAAATAAATAAATATTAAGGAAATAAAAAAAAAAGAAAGTGGCCAGAACTGATGAGTACATTTTCAATTTATTCAGGTTTTAAGATTTTAATATGGCTATTATCTACAACATCGAATATATATTTCTCTGAATGTATGCATCAATCACTTTTTAAAAGACATTTTCAAAAGTCACCACCCTTCCTCATAAATGAATCACCCTTTTACAATCATATTGTTTATAATAATAAAGAATCACGATCTGGCACGTTGACTCCACTGGCCAATCCTCTGACTGTAAGCACTGGTATCCCACATGGGCACCAGTTTGTGTCCGTGCTGCTCCAGTTCCCATCCCGCTTCCAACTTGTGGCCTGGAAAGTCAGTAGAGGTTGGCCTGAAGTCTTGGGTCCCTGTATGCACGTGGGACACTTGGAAGAAGCTCCTTGCTTCTGGCTTCATATCAGCTCAGCTTTGGCTATAGTTGTCATTTGGGGAATGAACCAGCAAATAGAATGTAACTCTGTCTCCTCCTTTACAAAATAGTAAATAAATATTTTTTTTTTAAATAAAGACTTCAACAGTGTACTGTAGGACTTGGCTTGATGGCGTATCTTAAGGCTCAGTAACTATGGAAACCCGTGTAGTCATGAATAGCTATTTTGGAATAATGTTCACATATTAGAGAAGAGAAAGCAGATGTCCACATCCACACTGAGCCACAAGATTGTTTTGAAGTCATTTTTATTCCCATTTGGAAGCTGCAAAAACTGAGGTTCTCACTACTTTACCAGGATAATATAGAGAGGGCTGTATTTGAAGTACAGCATGTGAGACTTGAACTTGCATTCATATGGGACTACTGTACTGCAGGCTCAGGTTTAACCTGCTATAAATGTCAGGGTGCTGGCCCACTAGACTTCTAATTTTAGACTTCAATTACGTGTACAGAGGCCATCCAATCACATTAAAATCTTGTGTCAGGTCCAGAGGTAAGCCCTGAGAATTATTTTCCCTTGACCATTATCTCACTGTCCTGTGTTTGAACATACTGTGGAGTGTTGGCAAACAGGATATTTAAATCTTGAGAAGCTAAAAGCTTTTGTGAGAAGGGTACCTCTCCATTTTGGGGGAAGGCCACTTTTTTGCCTCTCACTAGTGGCTAGGAAAATCATACTTTCAAATGAGCAGAACAGGGACTGCTCAGCCACTTCCTAATTGCTTAGATGGCACAAATTGGAAGGCCTTCCCTTGGTGGGGATCCAACTGAGAGACATTGGTTCAGTGAGAGGTCTAGGGATCTTTGAAAACCCAAGACACTTTCTGGTGTCTCTGCCTCTCTTCTTTCAGGAGATAGCTCATCTCCCAGATCTTTCCCAAGAAGTGCTCTTCCAGACCCTCTTTGCAATAAAACTTATCCTCTGTCCATGATTGACTCCTGGCTTTTTATTCCTCTGTTAAGTTGAGGAGAGAACCCACTGAGCTATGCTGATAACATAAATGGCATAGGAATTGGTGGTATCAGGCAAGACTTATTTGTGTGTAAATGGAAAATCAAGGTTAGAGTGTAATGTGTCACTAGAAGGCATTGCTTATTTGAATTTCCAATTAAAAAATGGTTTTGGACCAGAATCCCATGTATCATACAGACAATGGGAGAAAGTGGTGCCAAGCTAAAGGGCAGGCAAGAAGCATCCGTGAGGGGCTCAGAGAAGGATCTCAGATGGTTGGGCACAAACTTGCTCTATAAGCCATGGACTGGGTGGCTTTGGGGAGGTCATTCCTGGAAACTCTCTGAAATCCTGAAATCTTGAAATAAGACACTCTGCTCCAGGTTAGCAATTCTTCCTGAGACTACCAGCTGTTGAGTGGGTCTACTTGAATGCCAGTGTGGCAAAGGCCAACTTGGTGAACGATGTTTCCTGGGTCTGAAGATACACAGCTCAGGTGGACGCTGAGGAAAAGGAAGCTGTGCTGAGTCTGATCCGCTTTCAGAGGCCAGAGAAGATGAACATCACTGCCTTGCACCTGATGTCCATTCAGGACTTCACCGAAGTCTCCCCGTTGCTACATTAGACAGGAAGAGGTATCCCTAGAGGCCTTACCAGCCAATGGAGAATTTATAAATCTGAATCCGAGAGCAAGCCCTGGTCCTTATATCCCAAATGGATGATTAGAATAATACTAATAAAAAAACCCAAAATGAGACAATTCTAAAAAAAGAAATTTCCTCGAAAAGTCAATATTATTCTTGCTACATTTGTAAGGCTCCAACGTGGAGTTTTGGAGTTTGGTCAAAAAGAGTTTCAGCTGCTAATACGAATGGACAGAATTCTCAACCCCTGACTTTTTTTAATCCTGGTCCCTGTGCAGGTGTTTGGGGTAGCTGGAACAGCTTCTGGGGATCCTCTGAGCCACCCAAGACTGTGGCCGCTCTTGGCTCAGGACAGGGAAGGTGGTACCCACCACATACTGCCATTTTGGAAAATGTAGGCTTGATCCTGGCTGCCACTCTCTTTCACATGAGGGCAGCCTCTCAGGAGCCCAAGTTGGGACTCTTGACGCTATTCTGGCTCCTACCCCAAGACCCTGTGGAGTCTCAGCAGCAACTCAGCCACTTCCCAGGGGGAACTGCAGACCCACCCTCAGGGTCCTTCAAGGACATCTACACCATTTGGGTTGGGCCTGCTAGACAAAAAGGAATGTCTGATGACTTGGGAAATTGTTTCATGTCTTTGATACTTGAAGACCCTTGGGTAGGCTTAGAACTAGCATACATGAGGGATATAAGGCAACCAGTATGCATTGCAGCACTAAGAGCTTCAGGGGAAAAAGGAGATGCATTTGATAATATTTGTGAAATTTATCTGGAAGCTTCAACTGTCAGGAACATTTGGACAAAGTTTTAGTTGTAAAATTAAGTTGGACACAAGGAGGATGACTGAATAATTATAGAGCTTTTGGCGTTTCTCATCAAGTCAAGCATTATTGGTATTAGACCAGAAGTTAGGATGATTTTATTATTCGGTTATCTAAAAGTGCTTATTATTCTTTTGAAGATTTATAGCTACTGTATACTTAGTACTGCAGATTAAGTAATGGACATTTGTTCTTTATTATTCCTCCCGATTTTTAAAAATGTGTCTCTCAAAACAAGATGCTATTTCGGGGAAGAAATGGGAGATTCCAATCAAGAAAATATTGTGGAGTGATTAAATCATGTTGACTGACACATCCACAGGCTCACATACTATTTTGAACACATACAAAATCACTGTTCCTATATTTTATTGACTATAGTCATTATTCTGCCAGTAGATGGTTAAATCTTATTTTTCCTTTCCAACAGAGTCATTGTGCATCTTTATCAGCAGCTTTCCTTTTTCCTTCTCCACTCATCTCGTCAAAACTGTTGTTGATTAATTGCATTTTTGTTGGGAGTATTGATGTACAGCACCAACCTTGAAAGACGTAATTTGTAGGCAGACTGTTTATAGCTGGACTTAATTCAACAGTATAGGAGATGTTTAAAGAAAGCATGTTCCTCCATCTAAACTGAAAATGTTATAAAAGATTCACGCTTCAATAGTAAATGACAAATATCCCTACATAACTACATTTGAACAACAATTTTAACCAGAGAAAGAAAAGAAGCTCCTAACAGATTTGGAAAAGGAGATGAGGGATGATTTTACTCACAGGAAGGACAGCATTTCAGGGAGTGGATTGGGGATGTTGAAATACTAAATTTCTAAACTTGACAAGTGATATACAGCGTTCAAATGTTTAAGTAGTAGAATAAAATGAGCATAAAGAATAGGATTATAATGATGGTCAAAACATGGGGCAGGATTTCCTACATAGAAGTTATTTGCAAGAACCTCAACAGCAGCCTGAAAACAAAGTTATTTATAGGTGCTCTGTATTTAGCTGATGTGATATTTTACATCATGGCTATGACATAAAATTTTAAAGCAAAATTTTGTTAGTGTGAAGTTTTGGTGTTCATAAAAAGTACACGTATCTCTTTTTAACACATTCATATTTAGGTCCTCTGTGTTTTGATAATGTAGTATGTTACATCATGGTTATGAAATGAAATCTTCAAAGCAAGGTTACATTTGTATGATTTTGGGAGAGTATAAAATGTACGTGTTACAAGGCTAGAAAAAGTTGTTAGGGAAGCAGTGGGTAGAGTAGGAATTCCTAGCAAATTGGTTCTTACACACAGTGAGGTCATTTTAGGCACATGCCTATAAAATGCAAAAGCAGAGTCCATGTGAGGTATGACCCATCCATCCCAGTGAGTATATAAAGGTCTTGGAAGAGTACCTGACATTCAAACTTCAGTAACATCCTCCTGCTCTTCACCTGGAACTTCATCTCCTGACACCATGCGTTGCAACTACTATGGAAACTCCTGTGGAAGCCATGGCTATGGCTCAGGCTGTGGCTATGGCTTAGGCCGTGGATATGGCTGTGGCTATGGCTCTCATTGTGGCTCTAAGTGTCGTTACGGCTCTGGATATGGATATGGCTCTGGATATGGACATGGCAGTGGCTATAGCAGTGGCTATGGCTGTGGCTACGGCTCTGGATATGGATATGGCAGTGGCTATGGCTGTGGCTATGGCTCTGGATATGGATATGGCAGTGGCTATGGCTCTGGATGCTACGGATACAGGCCATTCTACTACAGAAGATGCTCTTCTTCTTGCTGCTAATCATCTCACAGATCTTCATTTGCTTTTGACATGACCACTCTAATTCAGGTCCAATTGAAAATCCCCCTGCCTTTTAACTGCATTATGAAATGAAGATTAATGTTTATGTGTTGAAGTTTCACTAATGATTGTCTGTTGTTGGAGCCCAAATAGTCCATCACGAAGACAGAAGATACTGTTCACTTCACAAATTTGTGAAGAATCTTAGATTCTTTCCTTTGTCTCTGTGTCTTAGCATTCTAAAGATAAACAGGAGTATTATGTGAGTGGCATATACTAAAACAGAAGATGATACTGAGTCCTTAATAAAAGGTTTTGTTCACTAAGTAGTTGTGTCTCCTTTGTATAAGTGTCATTATTGATTTCAGTTTGTGACATCATTGAATGCAATGATCACAACTTAAAATGCAAAACACTTTGTTGATTGTGTAATCAATGGCTCTCTCATGTATTTATTATTAATAATTTAAGTTGGTTGTTTATAAAACACATTTATTTTGGTTAAAGGTTGATGAAAATTGCTAGGGAAGCAGTGGGTAAATCAGTAATTCCTAACAAATTGGTTCTTATACACAGTGAGGTCATTTTAGGTGCATATTTGTAAAATAAGAGAGCAGAGTCCTTGGGAGGTAGGGCCCACCCATCCCAGTAAGCTCATAAGATTTTGGAAGCATACCCATCACTCAAAGTTCAGTAACATCTTTTTTTTACTCTTCTTTTTTTTATGATACAATTCCATAGTCTCTGGGATTTCCCATCTTCCTCCCCAGTTCCCTTCTTCTTCTGCTACTGATTTCCTTTCTAGTATTACAATGGGTAATCCTTCATGAATAGTCATGAGATCACCATTCTGCTATCGAAATGTTTCCTAAAATTGTAGGCATGGACAATGTCAGAGAGTCCATCATCCTACTGTCAGGATGTATACAACAGTTTCATTGGGAGTCCATCTTAGCTCTGGATGCAGGTGGTGTACTGCACTATATCTACATATCTGGACATGTCAGGCCTTGCACACTTCTATTACACATCACCTTAAATACAGAGCTGGAAAACATAGTTCACACTATGAAGAAAAAAAGAAAATTCATATCAACATGAAGTTAAGCAACATTCTATAGAAAGACAAATGCCTTGCTAAAGTAATGAAAAAGAAAATTAAAAAAAAAACCTTCTTGTAGAAATTGATGCTACTGCATGACCCATGTGGTGCTGAAGAAATGACAGTAAAAATAAGAACATCAATGCCAATGAGATATAGTATAAGCAGTTTTGAAAGGGACATTTATAACATCAAGTATTTAGAAATAATCAAAATGTCCTTATGGATGATCTATTAATGAATTACAAGGACTTATTGAAAAATGGACAAATAAATATGAAGTGTGAAAAAGTAAAATTCACAGCAAAATAGTTGGATTTGAAACAAAAAAACTGCAAATTGAAGCAGGGAAGAGCTATTTCCTCCAAAAATGAGCAAAACATCCCCTTAGCCATATTAACAATGAGCATCATAAGAGGACCACCAGTTAAAATTAGAGATGAAAGATAAATGGTTCAAACTTTTTGTTCTTTGCATGGGTCATGACACTGTTGTCAAGGGCAATAGTAGGGATTGTAAATTTTGTTGTGTAGGTGTATTTATAAGTTTCGATAGGAATTTACCTTAATTCCTTAGTAGAGATGAATTCTGTTGACAGGAACATCTTCTTAGACCTTACCTGAGGCCTCCACACTTTACACTATGTGCTGTAACTAATACGGGAACTCCCATGGATACTGTTGCCATGGCTATGGCTGTGGCTATGGCTGTGCACTCAGTTCTGGTTGTGGATGTGGGTTTTGGGATGTGGTTACGGTGTGCTAATGACTTCCGCTATGGCTGTGGCTTTGGCTCTGCATACTCCGGTTACAGACACTTTTGATATAAAAGATGCTTAGCCTCTTGTTGCCAATCATTATAAGCATTATCTTTTGTCTGAAGGACCACTGGAACATCACGTATATTTGACAACTCTTCCTCCACAGACATTGATAACAAAGTAGATTGATTACTGTCTTCCAGGCATCTGAATTAACATCAAAACATTTGTTGGCTCTTACTCCGGATTTTGGAGTTTCTTAAATCACTGAAGATACATTTTACTTGTTTATTTCATGGAATGGATAAACTGTGGTGTATCTAATCCATGGCATACTGCTTAAACTTCAAAAAGAACTAAGTTCAACCATTTGCAACAAAATGGTCCCAACTAGAGACCATTATGCTCAGGGAAATGAGCCAATCCCCAAGTAACAAAAATTATGAATTCTCTCTCTGATATAGGGCAACTTTCACCTAACATACAAAATAAATAGATACATAGGTAAACATGTGTGTGTTGTGTGTATTGTATATGTATGCGTGTCTGTGTGTGTGTATCTACATATCTATCTAGATTTACCCATGTTTATATTCATAGGTGAACTGCATAATGGAGGCTAATGTATGGGGAAGTGAAGATGTATGCATTTCTACTCCCAAACAAAGGGAGGACTGTCAATGAAACAGTTAAAAATGCCTCAGTAATATGTACCTGCTTTTATCTTTACCCACAAAGACATGATGCAGTTGGGTAACACAATGTTCAACTTGTAATTGTGGCTGAGCACTGTATTTGCTGTAACAATGTGGGCGAGGTGATAATGGGAGGAGAACTGTTATACCTACAAAACTGCATCATGGAAAACAATAAAGAAAATTAAAAGAAAGAAATTCACTACTCCAAAAGCAAAAAAGAAATTAAATTGTAATATACCCATCCCTGCTCTGTTGCTATCTGCAGAGACACAGCCAGATTCTGTAATTATTGCAGTCTCTTAACAAAAGATACTATTTAGTATGAAGTCTGGTTTCTTTTATCTCAACTTCACTATTCATTTCAGAATTTTGGTCTCCGCAAGGTGAATGAATAATCACAACTCAAGATATGACTAACTAATTTATTTTTTGAATCCAAATATGGCTCTTCTCCATTTAATTCCTAAAATGGTAACTAATTACTTCATATATAAATAAAATACAGTATTCCCAAATTCATATCTTACATGTGTTAAGAAATATCCATAACAAAAGGAATATAGTCATGAGATTAATGTACTAGTAGTGTGAGGGAGATTAGCTTTATCTTTGGCTTAATTCATGGTAACAATGAAGCAACAATGTGTGTTTAAAATTAATAGCTGTTCAAACATGTGAGCTAAGTTTCGTAATGGACAGATGAAAGATAAAACTGCTACAACCATTCAAGAACTTTAACTTCCTGCTGTACTCCAGCCTTGCTGTGTGGCTGCTCTGCTCCTCACACGGCAGTGCTCAGTATCATGAGCAGTATCATGCTTATGTTTCAGCAGACAAGGAGCAAAGTGTCATGATGAATAGAATTGGCATTTTTGTGTCAACATTTCCCTTCTCGTTTAGAAAAAAAGAAACCTTTTAGGAAAATTTTGGCTGTCTGTTGTTACTGCAGTCATGTGACCGTTCTAATCCAAATATTGGTGGAGCAAAGGGTTGTGCACAGGGCAAGTCCTGGTCACCCAGTGATTTGTGTCCAAATCGATAGATTGGGCTCTCAGAGGGAGAGGATTATGGAGGAAACAAAAAATGGGATCAAGGACATACAAGATTATCACTGAGCAGATGCAAATAGTTCTTTCATCAAAGAAATTCGGTTTAGTTCTCTCAGGCACAGTTGCCATCTCCATGCACATTTTTGCTCAAGGACAGAAGATCAGGCGGGCTAATAGATCCTTATTGTTATCACATTAGGGTTCTTTCATGCTGGCGTTCAGTGTTGCTAACATTTATTTTGTTTTTCTCTTAGTACAATCTTGATATGTTCTTATGTGTTCTTTAATATTCAAGCTCATTTCTTTCTCACATTCACAGCTGTGTAATTCTTCCATTTTTAAAGTAAAATCATCCCATTTCAATTTGTTAAAGACTCAAGAGAGTTATCATTCAATCAATTGATCACTTCTAAATCTAACATCTGAAATACTTGGACAGTCACATGAATCTACAACATGTGTGGGAGATCTTTACATAATGTTCATTTTTCTTTATTAGTAATGTGTGCAAGGTTGCGTTGATATAGTAAACTTCCCAGGCTCCTCTCAGGTTTTTGCTTCTGTTGTATTTTTCTTACATTTTACTGGTTGGTCAATTGATTGATATCTTTGCTTAGAAAAGTGTCTTGAACCCTCTAGGTACTGGCAATGCATTGTTATTAATTTAAACATTGGTTATGACTATAGTTAGAGGATTAAAAATCTTATTTATCTGTACAACATGCATTTCTTGGTGTGTATGCTACATTTTAATAAAATATTAAGAAAAGAGAAAGTTTTCTTGAAAATTCATGGAATATATGGGAGAAATGAAGTCGCTATATCTTGCCTTTTAATTTTATCATTCATAAGCTTTTTGATGTCTGTTTATATTTTATTCTTGAAATGTGTTGTGAGTGGAATATTCTTACAAAACATTAAGTGGATGATGCATGTATTAAATGGCTTATTTTAGTGATTAAAACCACATATGATCAAATACCACGGTGCATGCCTTAAACAATTGAAGTTGTTTAATTCAAAGAAAACAAACTAAGATAGGCAAGCATGTAAAAAGCAGAAACTTATGCTTGCTGTCAGTGTGACACTCAGACTTTTACAGTATGCTAGCTAGAGTAAGTGGTCGCTCGCTGATGTCACATTACTCATCTATGCAGAAACCCTCAGCTACCGGGCGGTCACGCAGCTACAGATGGATGCTACTTTTACACAGTAAGTTTGTGATTATTTCAGAAAGCAGAAATTTACTTTTTCTGTATTTGATATGCGGGCATTATTCCAAGTTAAGAAATGGCGATTTCAATGAAATTTGAACAACAAGGATAAACCATGTGATATATGGCTTGATTCTACAGTTTTTAAATGTTTATTTATGTTTTGAAAATCAGAGT